TTAGTCTATTGCGAACCCATAGCCAATAGCTAAAACGATAGCTGAATGCAAATAAGATATCGGGTCGATTCGACAGGAACAACCCCCAGGTCTAGCCATCGAGACTGATTTATTCGTAGGGCGTTAAGCAAAAAAAACTGCGCGTGTGTTTTCTTTCGAAATCAATTTCGTCAAGGATTTTGCGTTAGACCCATGCACCCTGATGCGAGCGAGTTGTACCCCTAGTTGCCGCTGTTGAGGTTAAGTGGAGACAAGAAAATGAGGATGCTGAGGGGCAGTAACGTTTGGTTCCGTCATGGAGGAAGCTGTCGTGGTAGCAGTGTATGTTCCGGCTCACTTATAGCAAATAGCCCTTGCAGCAAAGCAGTACTCTTTTCTTCGGGAGATGCTCTAAGTTGGATATAAGCCTACTATGAGTCGTCTGTCAAAGTGACCTTCAATACAATGCACAGTGACAGGCGATGGGTTGCCTTAACGGAAGCCGACTTCAAGAGAGTATCTAAACACATACATGCACGCCTGCGCACCACTTCGACATGGCGGACTATGGCTGAAGCGAGTGGACGCATCGAGCTACAAAATACAACGATCGAACAACGATTCGTAAAAAACGAAGACACTTTGCTTTTGCTCGGAATAGAATAGGTTGGAAACGAATTTAAGTTAAAATGTCGTCTTTGACGTGCGCAATATGCGAACTGACAATAATTTCCTTTCACAATAGGTAACGTTAATATTTAGGAATACGAACGCTAGGTGTAGATGTAGGTTAACCATACCGAAACAGTGTAGCTAAAAAAGCTCTTTCTCCAAACAAAATACAATGGTCTTTCACTGACACTCATGCATAAGCCAGTAGAGAAATAATACCCATAGCTATGTAGTAATTATCCTATATATTTCGTAAGGGTAAAATTTTCTGTGGCCTAGATCCGAGAAACTCGTCCTATCTATATATGCGAGATGGGTGGGAAGTTTTACAGACTTAAAACGGCATCTGATCTGAGTGACTGATTCGGCTGATCTGAGTGACGTACGACCCCGGCAAGCTTCTAGGTCATTATCATAAAAGTTTTTAGATTCTTCAATGCGGTGCAGATCAAGGAAACTCCGCTGGCAATCTACTTTCAAGCCGTTCCATGCATGTTCAATCCAAGATGGCCACTAACTACGCATAGTAGAACCCGTTAGACCGTGATGAGTATTCACCGAAACTGCAAGAACTATTCGTATCTTTTTTTCCTAATTATATAGTTGTTTACATTATAATACCATGGGTAGCGTAACGTCCGCTAGTCACATGCTGCTTCGTCTATCTCGCACCCAAACGAGGCGCGCAAAAAGCAGCTTGAGCACTAATACGAAATTACTCCAATGAGCTCTTTCCCATAAAAAAAAATTAGCATTATAATTAAATCCAATGAGCATGGTGTGCGTCTAACTCAGATCGTCCTTTCTAAACTGTGGTGATCGACCATGACAAGAATAACACTGTTGCTGGACAAAGTCAACATGAGTTTATTGAGAGTTCTCCTTTCTGCTAATGAGTATCAGATTGTTAGAGCATCATAGTCTATGCGCGGCGAAATTTAAGCTAGAATAGTTATCCTTCTATAAAGCCGATTCGCTGTTTACCAAAGCCAGCAGATAAAGGATCACCATCAATTGTGTAGCTGTTACAAAAGGCCGCAGTGTTGTATACTCAGTAAGTAGGAAGAATAGCACGCATCGACCATTTCTGCAGCTAGCCCCATCGCACTGGTTGATGCCACGCCTCCGAGTGTATGAGCCTGCGAATCTACGCGTGGCCTTTCTCACTGCTGTCCATGTCCGCTCCAGCCGTAACATTGCTGTAAGTGGTCAGAGACTGGAGCAAAGGACTGCCAAAAGAAAAGTAGAGTGGGACATCATTAGGGAAACGCACCGGTACTTAAAGATCCTGTTGCTGACGTGTTGATGACGCCCTTTATAAAGTCCTGTTTTCTGCCAGAAAGAAAGACAGTAGGATTGAGAGAGAGAGAGAGTAGTGAGTCGACGGGGCGTACAAGAGCTGGTATACAGGGTCTATATAACTTACATACGATGCTCCTGGATAAGAGGAGGCATAAAAGTGGCTTTCGCCGCTCGGGCCGTTCGGCTAGCTAACTTGCTTGTTCAGTGGCACTGACCGGTCGCTCTCATTATCTAGTTCAACCGCGACGCCGACGACCATGAATCATGGTAAGGACGAAACACATGCGCGAATGACACAACACAAATGAGCTGGCAGTTGGGGGCCTTCTTCCGACATTAACATTTTATTTTGTTGGACCGCCTTTTGCTCAGACTGCTTGCTGATACTGTTTTTATAAAAGCTTGCTCGAATATTTACTCTGTGTTTGCTCCAGGCCCTTCTCATTAAACTTACTGTGTTATTTATTTGTTCATTTATGCATACTCGATTATGTTTGTGTGTGTGTGCGTATTGGGTAAAAAAAAAAGAATGAAGCTCGCTTTACAAAACCAAATTTGTACTATATAAGGGCAAAAGATCTGGGTCTGGTTGTTGCTAAGGCCCTAGGTAAGATAAACGCTCATCAAACAGAGTGATGGCTCGTGCTAACCAGACACCATATAATAAGCTTACAATGTTTCTGTTTGGTACCTAACAGAATCGGAAATGTTTTTGTTAGAAGACAAACGGTTGCTTCTGGATGGATGACGAATTAATTTTGCGCAAACTTGAAACAAAACGTCGTATGCGCGAAAGAAATATAACATAAATAATGTGTTGTTACTGCAAAAGATATATTTTATCATAGATATATAAGTCACCACAAAGGCACTAAATGTCTATTAGATACTCCTGCCTTACTGCACAATTCCAAATCCGTTCGCTTAAGGTTGTACTGCTGAAGAATGTGTAGATAGAAATGCTCGCAGGGTACTCCAACTAAAAGTTTGCCTGAATCAAGCGTAATCCGAGGCGCGTATAGCCAAACGGCCCTTCAATTTTTTGCACCTCTTTGCGGTGAAAGCCAATGGTCTCGAAACGACCTGTCGTACGATGCGCGAAAATTAAATGTGCAGGAAAACGATCACGAACTTGGGTGCTGGCCAATGTCATCTAGTGTGATTACAAGCTTCGACAAAACCCAGGGGCAAACGACAACACACGCTACGGCGGCCACTAGAAACCTGAATCCCTTTGGAATTTGGCAAAAAGGTAAAGAAAACTTTTTGGAGAAGCGAGAAGCTTCATAAGATAAATGTGGCAATTTTTTAAATTTCTGACCCGTATAGTCTTTAGAAGTGGAAATGCGTTTGGTGCTTTTTTCTAATATACGGATTTTTAATAAAGGCCATCTCAATTTCTCGTTGACATGAGGTTGTACCACGTATTATAATTCCAGGTCAATTATTCATGTCGTCTGATTTCGCTCAACTTCGTTCGACATTAAGCAACAAAGAAAATCTTTCATGCCCACATCTACAGAAACAGTAACTGCCTGTCTGCCTGCCTGCCTGCCTGCCCGCCCAGGCCATGAAGGAATTACCACTGAAAGCATTTGCGAATCTGCTTTGATTTCAAAGTATTGCCTAACGACGTTCGAAGAACAGCCGCTTAAAGCGAGTAAAGGACAGAGATTCACACTGGTGGGTACCCTTTACTATAAGTTGACGCATCGAAGGTCGGACACGTACAGGGTGATAGCAGAAGCCCCCGGGATAGCTTAGTACGTAGCATACTTGCCTGCTAATATTAGGGACAGACCTAATCTAGCTTCGAACCCGGGCATACGCAGACTTCGTTTCGAGCTGGGGCCAGCTGTCTGATGGAATGCCTAACGGCGATACCGGACACGAAACTCGAAGGTCATAGCAGAAAACAGAGATTAATGTCCTTCGATGGCTTCTTTGTTGTTCGGTAGAGTGAGGCCGGCCAGACATGGCTGCGATAACTCTCAATAGATAAAGTTGTTGAGGACAATAAGCACTACAAAGCCTTTCATGCCCAAGATATATTACCAAGGCTGACTTAGCATAAGCAGACGTTATTGCATTGTGTTCTATGAAATTGTCGGACAACAGTTCGCATCAAAATCGCATTTGTACTAAATAACACATCGGCAATATGATAGAACTATGATAATCTTTAATAATACCTTTATAGGATACTAATTCTCGGAAAGCCTATCTCGGATTTCCGTAGGAACAACGTTTGCCAAAAAACACTTTAGGCAATTGCTAGCATAGGACTGCGCGCAAACCAGTGAAACCAATAGGATCAACGAACAATCGCGTCAAATATGTGAGCGTAAATACACCTCTAACAATGACTGATCCACACATAGATGTACTCAGAGTCGCATTTCCAGTACCCCTAATACACCGATCGAAGATTTCTATTGCTGCTCATTACAAAGTTCTCTCTAGTCGAACGGCGTGTTCATCTTGTTACTACTGCACTGCGTGCATTACATGCAATAACGGAACGTGCAGACGTATGTATATGTAGTATAGCAGGTAGGGGACTGACGTAGTATAATCAGCGTGAATATTTAAATTATTCAACATGTCCCGAGTCGAAACTTGAATAAAATATGTGTAACAATTGGACTATTCTATTGAACTATGGAGTATCTCAAAAATGGCCTATGCTCTAAAAATGATGATTATGTTGTAGGCTCTTTTTCTCTTGACCGCCAGCTGCCTCATTGTCATATGCAATGTATGTTGACTATCCAAAGTTCAATAACCTCTTCCTTAAGTTTTGTGTTACACAATTGGAAATCATAAACTCTATTATCTATTATCGTATTATCTTTCACTTATACACACTGTCGAGCCGCCAAGATTACGCACATGACCTCTGTAAGTGACGAATATAAGGCCTCGTACAGATGGATACTTTTTCTATGGGTTTTGAAAACATTGGAAGCAAATTATAATTCTGAGCTTATTCCGAAAAAAAGAAACGAAAATCATTATTCCGTAATTGAAACGAAGAGAACGGCTTAATTTAGGTCCTATATATTTAAATGATTTAGTTTGTTTATCGATGATTGTTCTTATGGACGTATAGCGGGAAGAGAGTACCATTACGACGTTCGACGTAAGTACGTAGAGGTATTCCGGATGATCTGACAGATTTGCATGGCCTTAGGCCTTGCATTCTCCTAGCAGAAACTAGAGCATACAAACCAGCGTTTTCAGGGTTCAGGTCCTTTATACAATCTGCTCCGATCACTAAAAGCAAAGGTTGTATTCAACACTTTAAGTATTGCAAACAGCTTATATCCACCTGCTCTTTTGGTAACTTTAAACCACCTTAACTTAGTCACCTGGATGAATTTTTACGTACGAATACGAGAATACGTAAAGTACGTATTCTCATCCAGTACAAATGTATAAAACGTGATGCTAAATAAACAATAGAATATTGTGTAATGTTTTCTGAAACCAACGAATCTCTACAAACTCTTACAATTGAAGGACGTACCGTGCCTTTGTGAATATATCACTACAGCGATTGCTCATAACAAGTGTGAAGGTCCAGACCTAATTATTTTTTAAGGACAAGCTTAATAACTGACTTTCTTGGAGTCAATTTTTTATTGCGCTAAATATTGTTACTTCAACCATCGTCCACGTGCGCGTCCGCTTTTGCGTTGTCATAAGCTAGGGAGCAGTACGTCAAACTTAAAACTTCCCACATTGCAATTAATCAATAAATATTCTAAGTTTTATGTCCGTTGCTATATATTTGCTTCAGTCACTCGAAAACGGATGGAGCAGGAACTACTTTCCGACAGAAACGATACGAGCACACAATTAGTTAATACAGATGTCAATAAGTCACATGTCACTTGTTACATAGAGAAACTGCCATGCGATACCTACCCATGATGGATACAGCTAGTTATCTAACGCGATGTTATATAGCGCAATATATATATACAAAAGGGTATTCGTTTGCTAACGCTTTTTTATAACTGAATTAGTCAATAGGTCTTGGAGTAGGCCTACTCTACTTATGCCAGATTAGCGTGGTGCAACAGACTTAAGAAATCACCAGGAAATTACAATTTGTACGGTAGACTGGTTCACTTGTATATAATAGCGATGGCTCTTATTGCAACGAATATACAAAGCGTAATACAATCTAAAAAATTACACCCCGCCGCCTTACGTCTGCATATGGCTTGAAGCTCGGATACAGCTGGCAGAATAAATACTTCAAGGATACGCGGAAAAACAACAGGCGTCTCAAAAAACGAACCAACGAAAGCGCTCGCCGTAAGTTAACGGTACGCATAGAGGGCGTCCTGCAACTAAAGGCCTGCTTGTCCTATGTTTTTTTTTTCGATAAACGTAGCCGCTAACCCATTTCCGAGGCTGACGTTGTTGAAGCAGCGACGACTAGGTGCGTGTTAGTGCAGTGGAAATGTTGGCCGCTAGTGAGTGGCTGCTGTAGGTCTTGGTTAGTTACGAAGCAATTGTCAGCAGCTTTTCCTTTGACCCCCCTGGTGCACGCCACAGCTGGTTGAACGACTCACGGCGAACAGCATTTGTGTTGAAAAACGAGACATAAACGAGACAGGCTAACCCCCCAGAGCAGGACGGGGCGACAGATAAAACTCGTGGGAGAATTTCCCTAGGCCACAAAGGCACGCCGTATTTCTTCGGTATATGACAGAGCTTGTAATGAGTAGAGGATAATAGAGGACTCGAATACGACAAAAACACATCTTCTTGAATGTATATTAAAGAGGACACAGGGACCCGCCTACCACTCAGGGTACGTCTATGGCGTCTTTTGTCTACTGATTTTCAACCGATGATGCAACCGACAACACTCACAGTGAGATCGAACCAAATCTTGTTTTGTAACAATCACCTCTTTTATCGGCTTTGAAAGGAGAGATCAACTGAACTGGTGTGGCGCTGTGGCAATAAGGTCAGTTGTCAACTAGTCCTGAACCGCGACCTTCCTGGATTGTACCTTCTTACACTAAAACAGAGGAGTATAACTGAGATACCGCAGTAGAAGTATAAACAATTTCGATTGGACAATGTTACATAGTGAATGCAACATCGCAATCTGCCGTCCTCTATTTGCCAGTCCTGCCCCAAAACGTTTGCTACGATCATCGACAGCACGCTCGTCATGTGACATAGCATAACAGTAATGCAACGACTACAGTCACCATCAACAACGATGATAGTATAAAGGCGTTCAAACTAATAAAAGCGAGTCAAATTTACCTCGTCAGCGAGTTTCTCTGTTTCGTCGGCCGTTTGTCGACTGCTCAAGCTGAATGACAATGGGCTTGGACGGATGGACTGGGCTCAAAAAGAGGTCCTCGCATTTGTGCTTCCCTCTGACCTCCTTACATCTGCGCGCACGGCAAGGTCGTTGTGCCTTCTCTAAGACTGCAGGAGCTGCATATCAGGAGAAAGCTAAGTGAAAAAATGAGGTGAAGCGGAAAAGAGGGAAAAGACGAACCAAGCGACGCTGAGCGACGAGTAAGATGTTCGTGAGTATTCTTCTTCTTACCGTTGCCGCTGCTATTTCTTTGCAGGTAGATAAGTAGCTTTTACGCTTCCCTTTCCTGGTGTACCCTATTTATGGTACTGCTGATTCTGTAACCTCTTAACAACATCGCTACGACGTCCAAATATTCGTCATTTCATTTGATCTACTCGTAGCCACAATCCTAGCAGGAAGGCAGGCAACAGGCAGTGATCTTGAGGCATCGCTGAGACGGTAAGCAACGCGGTGACCTTTCTGCTTCTTCTCTCCTGCCGCCCAATTTTACCCCATACGCCCTCTCCTTCGATCATAATAGTCGGCCCGTCCTTTTAGGACCCTGCTTTGCAAAACCTCCATTCTATTAGTCTTTCTCAACTTGTTGTGCCGCACATACGCTTTCGTCTGGGACTGTACATATGTAGGGTCATGAAGATAGTATGCAGTCGAAGGTGGCATAAGATAGAGGCACAGTGTCGACAGAAGACGAAGCTTTAGTTTATAGGCTAAAGGCAATATTAGCTTAAAAATCCAGACGTAAAGAATATACTAGGTTTTAATGTTGGTCTTTGTACACATGTTTTACAAAATTAATATATAAATATGTTCACTGTAGCTAACGGGGAGTCGATATGATCTCTTTTGGATCGGGTGTCGAGTTGGGAAGAGGAAAATTATGACGGACAGTTGGGTACATGACGTATTACCCATACGTCTTATTTAAAACAGAGATTTGTGCAACGCCTAGTGCAGGTAAATATGTAGGTGGTGCATTATATGGACGTTAAGATTCAGCGTAGCCGTAGCTTGTAAGGTAGAGCTTTCTCTGTTGAGAAAGGACCACAAAAACAAAAAGGCGGCTAAAGGGGTGTTGTCTATTCCAAACATACAGCTAGATAACAACAGAAATAGGTCTTGCCTTCCGTGCAACTTTTGTTGCATTCGTTCGGTTCAGATGGTAAATTAGTCCGATTGACACTTTGAAGGGGTAAGTGAATGGCGACACTTTCTCCTCAGGAGGGCCAATACTACTACGGAAAAGTTAGGGCCATCATCACTTCGTTAGCCGAGTGTCGCGCTCTTGCGTTGCCGTTCGCATATTTCGTTTACGGTCTTCCTATTTAGACTCGCGAATAGTTACACTAAATGCTGACACTATGTATACTAGTGTGCCCTCCATTATAGACGACCATTGCCGTCTAAAAATGATTACAATGGTATCTGCCGAGAAAAGTAGCGAATTCCGAGATGATCAGTCACATAGTCGCGGAGGCCATAGTCAAGCGAAGGAGATGCATGTGGCATATGTTTACATTGTATCATAGTGAAAGGTATTTAGGGCGAAGACACGGTACCTTGAAAGCATGAGGAACGCACCTCTTGTGGTTTATGACTTATATCCGACCTTGACTTGCAGTTTATTGACTTATCTTCGAAATGCATATTACGTAGCTTATACACGATACAATGCTATTTCTGTGCAAAGAGCTCAGTCCGTTAAACAGTAAAATTATGTCCAGTTTCAGATTCATCTATGTCTCGTGATTGTTGCCGCCTCCTATCTGTTCACTCTACAGTAACGAACTGACTAAGCGTTAAACAAATATTACTTTGAAATAGAAAGCGGAGTTAACAATTCGAATTAATGTCAGAATCCCGGGCTCAGTGTCTGTGTGTGTCAAGTAAAAAACGCGATGCAGGATCGCGAACCCACAGGAAAGCTTGACAACAATAGGGTACATTACTCTGTTATCCTGGTACCCCGCACCATTATTCATCCATTTATCTAATCTTATTATTTTACTTGACAATTCGCGGTCTTCAATATACGCCTCCCTTTTTATTAATCGATAATCCAGTACGGCAGACGTAACCATTACCACCTGACGCTAAATTGTCTACGGGAAGCTTGTTTTTACTTTTCATCCTTTTTTCCACGACAGCTGGGTCGTGGGTCGTTCGTGCAACCGGCGTTTTTGCTAATATTCGTGTCTATTGAACCGCCTGCTTTTGGATGACTTCGCTATGTTTTGTTGGTCTACTTCATTTCTATCAAATGTTTTTTCGTCTGTCGTTCAATGGATCTTCTTATATATATATGTTTACCTATACCACAAACGGTTAGCGCTGTCTTGCGTCAGTGTCTTTACTTGTTCTCTTTCTGCACGTCCGTTCTTCAAATCATCTTCCTTCGCCTCTTCTACATCGTTCAACCAGCATCTACATTTGATTGCACGTCTCGTCCCGTCGCCTATTATAGAAACTGGCCGCACTCCACTTGGCCTATGCTATCCCCGTGTGCAGCGTTTCCAAGATATGGCTAGCAAGGCACCGCATTCCCTGTTACTGACTATTATCGTATGTCTGATTGTTCGTCGGTTTGGCTTGATGTGAGTGCGCCGTGCGAATTCCCATTTGGGTTTTGGTTTTTCTTCTGAAGTCAGCGGCGGCAACGGTTGCCGCTACAAACGCGTGTACTCCTTTGTAGTTGTCGACGCGTTTTTGCCGATCGCTGCGTTACGTACACAACACACGTATACAGACAAAGCGACGGGATCAACAACTGTAGACGCAAATATTGCGGATTGTATTCATGATTGCGTATGTTAACGGTTCTACTAGACCCAGCAAAAGGGTCCGTTCAGTCTGAGGAGTGGCTGCTTGTTTGATTGTTTAATAGCCAGCCAGCGTTAGGCGGCGACGATACCGAGCCAAAACATCGTTTTCAGAAGCAATTTCGCAGCCGGCAAAAGGGGCTCAAGTTGTAGAACAGGGATGACGTGAATAATTAAAAAAAAAAATAGGAGCAGCGTTACAAACAGAAATATGATTCGATCTTTCACATAGCACTGCATAATGCAGATTCATAAGGGGCGTCTGTAACGGGAATTTCTGTATTGGTAATGTTTATGGAACTAGTAGCGCGAATATACCGGGACAAATAGAGCAAACATAAAATGCTAATAGGCTTGTGCTATTGTTGCTGCTTCGTATTCGTAACTTAACTGCGTAAGGTTTCCATACGTCATACGATGCGTACTTGACCTCTAGGTGAAACGGGATTGCCGCAGTGTGTCCTATGCAAGGACTGAAGGGAAACAACGAAAGTATTATGGAACAACTACAATGAAAGCATTACTTGAAACAGCGACTCGTATAGCTTTTGTACTATGTTAGTTACACTGTAGGCAAGGTTGATATTATAGAAACGACAAGTTTACCATAACTCGAATGGGCCAATCCGTTGCTGACAATACGCTGGTGCGCGGGACACGGGTCGGACTATTTGGCCCTAAAATCGCCATAATAACTTGATGTACATGAATGTCATACAGCGTTGTGTAGTCAGTCGGACCTATAATAACAAGGTTCGAACGATTTCAAAACATGTTGATACAGCTATCGAATAAGAGCTTTATTCAAAGAGTTACGACTATTAGAGTAAGTTCGTAGTTACTAAAGTTGAAAAAGAATAACAGGTGAGATACGTTCTTATACTTGTACACTACAAAGCCTACAAATCATACGCTTGTAAAGATCATTCCGTCTAGTAGTTTGTGCTTTAACGTGTTATGCAAGCACGCTCATACCTGTGGCAAACTATAGATCGATATTCGATAAACGTGCACGTGCAGCCTTCACGGCACGTAGCCGCACCGCTTCACCTTCTGTTCGACCTTATAGTACGCCAAGAGCGCAGTGTCTCGAAAAACCCCGCCGAGGTCTCTTCGGTGCGCTGCCGAGGATCTTCGAAGGAACGATGAGAGGACGAAAAGCCGCAAGTCCGGGTAGGCCCCGTCGCCGAAAACGTTGAGGTTCTATTATCGATAAAGAAGAACGCATTTTGCTTGGGTGCTTGCGACACCACAGCCATCACCAATAGTAATAGGCGACTTCGACTTCGCTTTGATGTGCATTTACGCGTTAATATACGCCGTAATGATGGCAAATGAAACTTGAACAAAGTGGACGCACCCTATGAAAAATCTAAAGTTGCTCCTTTCCTTAACACAGTACACAGTCTATGAGGGAAACGAAATATTTACAGGCTTATAGTGACATATTCTATGACGGCATCGCAATAGTACTTCTCGTCTTAGATAAATAGATGCTTCAATTACGAAAGTCGCTTGTGTTTGAAATTTAGAACCTCCGTTCTTTCGAACCATAAATAAGTAGTTATCCTACGTTTTCATATTGAATTTTTAACTATGTATGAAGCTGAGTTAAATCTGAGACACTCATAGGTATATCTATGCAAATAAAGATTGGTGCAATAATCAATATCGCCGTAAAAGAGCACCCAGAATCATTTCTGAAAAAATCACGACGGCAAGAACACGGAAACAAATAGAATATATTACAGAGTTTACATGCAGCATAGTAGAAACTATGCTATTACAAACTCCCCGACATTTGCGAGATCCGTTGCATAACCTGGAGCTGGCAGGACTAGAACCTTTTAGGGACAGGACTGAAATCAGCTCTCTGGTTTACATAGTAATAATATGGGAAGGCTTGAATGATTCGTCAGCACGATGACCTTTTCTGTGACGTCATTCACTCTAGACAGCGTTAGGAAGAGAAACAGACAAACCTTTGGAGGCTGTCCACTCACTAGGCGTTTCCTCGTTCTTCTACAAGGGCTACCAGGCGCGCGAACGCTAGCTATTCTCGTAAAGGTCACAAATAAAAGAACTCTGGAAGTACGGAAGCTTTATGCAGACTCACGGCATAAGCAAAATTAGAAATAGTCAGATGGCAGTCCTGGTTGTCCGGCGACGGGCTCTAGTAAGAACGAGATAAGAATTTATATATTGAAAGGGATCAGTGTAGAGAAGCAGACTATAAGAGACGCGCCCAAAATGTGTATGTTTGTATGTGCATCTCGCATCAACTGTTTGTCTCTGTGCCTTAGGTTGATTAAAGTAAATAGGAATTCAACTTGTGTTGGACGTGTTAATATATGTAAAATAAATGATGGATGAATGTTTTCCGGAAAGGAGAGGGATTTAAGATGTTGTGCTAGTATAGAGCCCTTCGTACGGTTGTATAGCTCTTGCTGAACATTTTCTTATCGCAAGAAGCGCTGTCTCTAGCGGCGGCCGAGAATCGGGTTTCGTCTTTGCCATATTCATAGTTCGGGTGAAGCATTGCCCAATATCTAATAGGCGTACTGGAATGTATATAAACGTTCGATACTGCGGTTAAGCGCTGCTACAGACGACGTGGTGGCTAGTTCCATAGTATTAAACGACGCGTGTCTAATAGTAGCTTCAGATCAAGACCATTTCACGTATTATTACTGCACTATTTGGGGGCATACGTGCGTAAAAGTTTTGTCGTTGCATCAGTCTTTGGTGGGTGACGATCGCTCTCGAACACATGCATATCGTAGGCTTTGACACGTACGTTAAACGATTGGCTGTATTTACAAGGTGATCTGTGTAGCGTGTTTCCCATTTTCCTCTAGGTAAATATGTTTCCTAGAATTCAGAACAGAGACGAACTTGACCGTAGCAGTGTAGCTTGATTATAATACTAGATGTATTGTTCATCGATGATTGTAACAATCCTGTCCTACGATATAGTGGCGTATAAGGTTTACCAACTGTATCTGTTTCGGGTCCATTTTTACTAGAACGGACTGTTTCCCGGAATTCGGTAACTATGCGTTGTTTGTCAGCAACCTTAGAAACGCGTAATCTTTTAGAGCTTGCTGAGTAATCAAGCAGAAGGAGGACCTTTTGTTACTGCGGCGATTATCAAGCGTACGTATTCAACGCCAAGTAATACATGTGGGGCCCTTTTAAGCACAAACAAATTATCTTTTTTTTTTTTTTGCTCCGCTTAACTTTAACCAGCTTGCTTTAGCATAACAGCGCCTAGTAGCAAAACGACTTCGGTCAGAGGCGTCCGTACGAATTTTCTTTAGTGCTGACATCGATCTAGAAACTTGTTTCACTTATATACTTTTTCATATCATTCTCGCTACCATACCCCACCACTATTTAATTTATTACGTCGCATACAAAATGAACGGATACACTTGTATTGTTAGCATGTTTAAAATTCAAACTAGTTGGTCGCATCACATGGCACGTATTGGTGGCGTCTCTCTATATTTTTATAAAATACAGGCCATCCGATAGTTATGGCAGCTACCTGCATTCGGTGCTCTAGCAGGCTACCTACCACCCTTTCTCCTAAACGAAAACTACGTTGTTACACGCCTCTTAATGACGATAGTGACGACTGAGCACATTGAGGCTTACGTAGATCAAACATTTTCTAATTAGATAACGATTATTTCGTAACATTTTATTTGCTATCAGCCTGTCGCTGCTACTGCTGCGGTCAGTGTCGATAAGCCGTATGCATTATGGTAGAGTCTCGCCCCTTTCACTAGGTTTACTCGACAGAAAAAAGGATCGGTTAGCCGTTTTCGGAGCATCGCTAAAGGAAAATTAAGAAGAGTGCCATACCGCACCACTTCCGCATGGAGTCAACTACTCCGTTTTTCTGTGTGTCGAATGTGGACGGACGAATACGCGCCATTGCCAAAATAATGTTCAGTAGGGAAAACTACCGGGTAGATGTATCTACCTGCATCGTGTTATATCTGCATGTGTATGTATGTGGACGAATGGCTGAAACTGTGGAAACTTAGACCAACTCAATCTGGGAAACTTTTGTGGAACCGACTGAGTTCGTTTCAGTAGCCGGAATACCACAGGAAAATTCTGCCAACTAAGAGAGTAGTAGGTCAACGTTCATGGCCATGGCTGTTAGAAGTAAACCTTTGCAGTTTTAGTTTGAAGGTCAATGAAACCTGTTGGAAGCCTGGGCAGCTCATGTTCCTGCGTACGGACTTGGTCTAATGAGACAGATACATCTGTAACCGGCTGCAGAAACACTGAATAAGTAAACTGTTCCTTACGATTGTTGTGATCACCTACTTTCTATTCTATCCTATCTTCTAGACCGATATCTGACCTCCAGATTTACGTGCATTTTTGCCCTCTGCCGTTCTAACTAGCAAACTGTCCTTCGATTAATTGAGTTATATATATATATATATATAATCTAGAGTTTTTTAGAGATATAGAAGAACTTGCTTTACTATATTCTCGATCATCGTGGATTGACGGAAAAATCATCAAAAAAATCTGCTCGTTGCATTAAAATGCAGACAATGTATTTAACCTTGTAGAGCCTAGATAAAGACAAATGTCGAGCAGCTTTCACTCAGCTGCTTCTAGTTTCTTACAGCGCTCAGATGTTAGATTTGGTTAAAGGAGCATCACAGCAGAGTTAAAAGCTCTGAGCATTCACATCTTGATTCGTTTCAGAAATGCTGTGTGAACATTGTGTGAGCCGGTCCTTAGACAGCCTCTAAAGGGGGAACGTGGGCATCTCTCTAAGCGAAGGCAGTTTTGCGCCTTATGTCCTTAGCGTATTACGCTCCAACGGCTGAAAAAGCCTAGATTGTCAGATACGTTTTTCTGTTCCCACGCTGACTTGGCCTAATAGTAGGGAATGGTAGGCATTCTGATGTTAGCCGACTTCGGCGGCAAACAGGGTCCACAATAAAGGCTAACGATGATATATTTCGTAACAAACAAATTGCCGCACATGTCGATAAAAGTTTTGCATACCGTTCTGCTGAATTGGTAAGATTTATTATCAGATTTTCAAAAGACCTAGATTGGAAGGAAAACGAAAAATGTATAAGGCGTAAATGCGTAGTCGCGAGGTTGAACGTACGTACCTCACTACTCTAGCAGTAGTAGTAAAACCCAAAAAATTTCAGGAGTTACAAGTTAGGAAGCATTCGAGGCTGAGAATGGGCCTTCTAGTAAGTGCCATAGCTATTTCAATAACAAAAAACCCATCGATTGGTTTCCGCGAAAAGGTATAGACGTTGAGAACGGCCTGTACATGTAACACGTCTTGACTTCGATGCGAAAAATCCGACGTATCTTTAATTTAACTTGATGAGAAAATAGCGAACTAAGTAAGTTGATTAACGGTGTAAGCATTGATTCAGTATCATAAATGATCATGGATTTTCATCTGGGCGCACAGCGCCTAAAGGTAGAAGCAACAGCATTAGGCCATATCACAGATCGAACATTTTAAAGCATAGCATTATCCGTGAACAACGACTGCTGTTCGAAGAAGCGCTGATTTAAACGGGCCACTTCTGACTTTTGATGCCATTGATATGAGTCCTGATGATGGTTGAGCCGCTTATGGACGTATGAAGGACCAGCATTGAATAGGCAAGTGTTGTATACATCTGTACAGGTTCAATGTGTTTGTTTGGCCGGGAACTGCTCCTACGGAAATGATTACCTATGTAGATATACGACAGTTCACGATACATTTAAATATAAAATATAACAATTTTATGATACAACAGAGTCGGTGTTCGATTAGTAATCATAGCCGTTTACCGAAACACCACAAGCTAACTTCTAATTTCAACTAAGCTGGTATATTTTAATTTATAAACAGGTAAATGAACATGCGTTATCTAAATTTATTAGACGAACTTGAGCAAAGGCTGTATTGTAGATTTCACGTGAACTACTCTATTGCTAGGATGTATATAAATGTATATATATATATTTCCTGTATATAAATATATTAAAAAAGAAATAGATGAATGAGACATCTAACTATCCTAATATCAGGCTAAACGATTTCGCGAGTGCTCAGATGATCGCGGCAGACCGAGAGAAATACAAATAAACAACGTGTCCCCTTTTAAAGCTGCCCCCAATTCTAAAGGAACAAATATTTTCCGGTTAATTTTGAAAGCTAGACACTAATTTTACTTGTGTAGTCTAGGTAAGGCTATGTAAAGAATCATATAAAAATGTCGATTGAATAATAATGAAAAAGACCGGTGTCGTTGTCTTTGCAATCACCTCTTACTGCTATTTGTGTGGCACGGAATAGTAACATTTTGTTTTTAATCGAATCTATAATGAGGGAGTATTTGACTTGGTATGAATATTTGCAGGAATTGTTAAATCCACTATACATACGCTATTCGTTGACGAACACAGAGTAACAAAACAACATTGTAACGTGTTTTGTGTACGCACCAGTTCTATGTGACGTCCAGTCAATCAACGAATAGCAGCCATTTGCATTTTCTTATAAAGGCAAACGTTGCCCACGGTAGTGACGGTGTATTTCCGCTAGTGTCGAATATTCCACGTTAGGATTCAGGTAGACGAGGTGGGTAGCAAAAAGAAGCCTTTAGAGTCTTCTTTTTGCTACCCACGAAGAAAAACAGGTCATTTTTTGACCCTGCTCATTTTCGGCTCGAACCGTTCGATTGTTCTAACACACCTGCCATGGTCCTTCTCTAAATTCACAATTGTCATCATCACCATCACCGTCATCATTAAAATAAATAGAAAAGCAATTTCTAACAGGTTTCAAACATTCTGTTCGAAATAAAGCCAATTATATATTCTAGTTCGTACGTTTTTTGATTGAAGGGGTGCGCAACGAGCCTAATACGAACGATACCCACATTTCAACATACTCGATTATTCATTTCGCAACGAGTGTTCAAGGGGCTAAAAAGCATCTCAGATAGTCTAGGCATATCTGGGATAAGCTCGGTGGTTCTATCGGCTACTGGATAGACAAATATTATTACGGCACTGTTTCGATTTTTCCGCTAATTCAGCTGAAAAAAATGAAACGTGACTTATAGATCGAAATTGATCGGATCAGATTTTTTTTTTGTCAAATATTCTACTCTTAGCAGTTTTATACAATTGATTAATTTGTTTTTGATGTTGTTTACATGCACAAGATGAATAACAGACTATTACTAGTTAACTCAACACTATAGGTAATCGTTGGGGAAATTATTGGTAGATGCTATTCGTTGGAACGCGTCGGCGCGATGATAGTCAGCTCCCTTAAGGTCTGCTGCGGTGCAATAGCTCCTGCACTTGGAAAAGCAAAATAATGAAACATCTCGGAACGAGTTCAAAAGACTAGCAGCTTCTAAAGGGTAATGGGTCTTATTGATAATGAATGGGGAAAAAGGGATGATATTCGGCCTAATTATAATTTGGCCTGGCTGCCGGCTAACCAGCTTTGGGCCTGGCGATTGTTGGGTGCGGCTATTCGACCAGGCACTTTACCCAACTCCGTAGAACCTCCTGTGTGGTCCATTTCCCATCACTTAAAGGATTTCCCCCAAAATGATCGTAGTAGTCATTACGAAAAGGGAATCGCGACTGTGAATGTGTCTGACCGGCAGCTACGGGCTGGTCGGGAATTGGTTTCAGGCAGCCCGCGAGAGGATGTGACAAATGTGTTTATCCCAGTGAAGGAGCAATAATAGTCTACTAATCAGACAAGAACTACAGAGAAGCTGCGTATACGTTGTTCAGACAATAACTAGTGACGAGCTCTAGCATCGCTATTGTATGCAGAGTCCATCCGGTGCTTTTTCAATCTATCGCGCTCCCAAATCCCACTAATGCGTATTAATGCAAAGACCGACGGTCGATTAGGGGGAACATTATTAAAACTTAGCGTATTTCAATTTACGGAAATCAACCCTTTTGAGATAGACGTGGAAAGCTAAGTTCTGGTGTTCTTCTCATTGAAAGTTGGGCATAAAAAAGGTCATGAAACACTAAATTTATTAAAAGTTAAGTTCCTTTCTTTTATATCGTCTAGTTACACCTGCACAACAGACAAATCCCGCGATATCTGCCAGTTTTATTTCTGTAGTTTAGTAATTGGAAATAATGAAATCATACGCAAAACAATTTTTAGCTGATCCGGGTACTTCTTTGGCATTGAACTTTGTCCGTCAGGCTTCTAAGCTTATTTTCCGCCATATAAGTCCAGAAAAATCCTCTGGCAAGACACTCTTTCTTGTGCGTCGACAGGGTAACATGCAAACTCAGCATACGACGGCTCTGCGTATTTGCGTGGCCATCGATGTTAGTGTTCCTACGTACAAAGCAATTACTATTTCGGCACCTAAAACTGTATGTACGACACGTCGGAGATAAATTATAATCTAGTGATACCAATTGCAATTATTCTTGCCGGTAACTCTTTCAAACGTTTGGCCCACAACGAACTCGGTTTAGCATAATTCCTATAATCGCTATAATTCTATATAGACACATATACTATAAAAAAAAAAATAATGGTAAGTAACGTCAGTATAAAACGAAGAACGAGTATACGAAGTATACCGATATACAATTAAGATCGGCGAACGGTGTACATATAGATATTCCTTCAATTCGGTTTACTATTGCTTCTGCTGATCGATATAATCGAATTGAAATCGTGTAATACAGACTGTTCCCCGCTGTGGCGGTCGTGATTGGCCCGGCGATCAATGAGGCTCGAGAACCAAAGCAGGTCCGTTGCCCTGATATTCGCAAACTATCTACTTTAGTCCGTTTCCATGAAGCGTTCAGCTGGTTGACTTCGATTCTCAATGAATTATGTATGCTGTTGATGTGTATTCGGTTCATCTTCGCTAGCGATGATTCAAGAAAGAAGACTGCTACGTTAGCTGACAGCTCGTCGAGGACAGCAACAAAGGAAATCGTGTCAGTTACTCAATGAAGATCATGAAAAATGTCGTTCTCCATCTGAAAGATCGAAAACTTACGATTGCTTTTCAAGCGAACAAGGTGGATCCGTTAGGCTGAATCTTCTTTAGCCTCGTGTTATTTTCGAGGGGACTACTGAGGTGAGAGCAGATGACCGTGTCAGATTATTATGTCAAAAAGTTAGAGGTACCGAACATACTTAATTCCACTCTTCCAGGGTTCAGGAAGTTACTCACCTGCAAGTGAAATAACAATGTACACAATTAGTATGCTAGTGTGAGACATGATATCGTAAGAAAAAAATGTCAGAGAAACGTACAAAGGTACAACATTCTCGTATTGCTCTAGATTGATTATGGAATATTGATCGTGATTTCGTCACGATTTTTATGTCATCGTAAAACTTTTAGGGAGTTTTGCGAAAGAATAGCTAATTTCGGGGCTTGAATCAGTTAACTCGATCGGTAAGAACCAACGTCCATCGTGTCTTCTTCTAAGGGCTTTCGACTGGTGTAGAAGTCATAGATCGATAGATATCCCCAGTGTATGGATTTGTTAGTGAATAATAGAGGGTACTAAAAAAAAGACAACTTATCGTGGAAATTACTAGTTCTTCTTCTTCTTCTTCTTCTTGCGTCCAGCAGCGTTAGCGTATGGTAGATCAAGATATACGAGCAGTTGGCCTTAAGTTACTCCTCAATCTCTTGATTTTAAATCGACTTTTAGTTATATAAATCGATTTAAAACCCATATTAGTTTAGGAAAATCAAAGTTATAATAATAATAATAATAATATAAGCAAACAGATAGGTTTAGCTAGCGTTTAGCATATATTATTTAGCCAATCTTACTAGTTTACGGCCAGTTGGAACCCGTCAACCTGAATGTCCACTGCAGAACTTTGTGTCTGTAAGACTTCTCTTGTTTAATTCTTTAAAGTCCAATGACCACGTTTACCACATAAATTTGGTATTGCCTGCTTGTCTATACAATACATATTTTGTGTGTGTGTTTGTGTGTTTTTTGTCCTTCTAATATTCCTGTCGCGTCCAGCGCCATTAGTGTTCATAGCAACGAGTATGGGAGCAGGCAACGTGCGACGGTGTTTAAAGGGCCATAAATTTGTTGTTGGTATCGTTTCCGGCGGTGTTGTTGTTGTTGCTGTCGATGCCTTCGCGTAACTATAAGGGTTGTTCTCCTCTTTTTTTTTACAGGCCGTGTAGCGGGTGCTCAACAGCCATTCAGCTAACAATAACCTAGCCACCGAGCTAGCCCCACTACCCAGCTTCCTTCCTTTAGCCGCTATCGGAGAAGCATTACGGGCTCGCGTGTATCATATTCGTTATATATATGTATATATATATATATATATATATATATATATATATACACACACAGATTCCGTTCAGCCGTTGACTGCCGTAGGTGAGCAGCAAAAGTTCAACGTGTTCAAAGCATCAACAACTTGAATTTCTCTACCTGTCGCATAATTAACTTGTGTTTTACTCACGATCGTAATTTGGTGTCCTGCACGCGACTACAACTTCGGTGTGCTAGCCAGAACTGAGTGGAGTGAAACAATCAAAGGGCGAACGAGATGAAAAAATTGGGTCGACCATTAACTGCATTGCTAGGTAGATTGCGGATAAGGCTGTCAGGTCACGTGGGATTACTACTAAGCGAAGGCCAGTGAGAACGACAATCGTTCGCAAAATGTTTAAGTTCTAGGGAAAAGACAATTTAACACGAGCGAGGCATATGACCATAAAAACGAAATTCTCTCGATTGAAAGGTGCCGAGTCAGATATTAGAAAATATATCATGACGAATTGTGATTTAAAATTTCTCTTATTGAGCTATACTTTCTATTTTCATTCAGTCCGATTGTCTATGAACGTATAAAGTAAGATCAACTGTTGTGATTTCCGTTTATCTATCAGGAGCAGCGAGGGCTTTCAGTAATAGGGTCATCGCGTTCATCTTGCCTCGATGGGCGCACCTGCCCAAAAGCCCCATGTATTGACTGACTCCTGATTTGGATATTAGTCCTGTTTGGATCAGAATGCTTACTAGAATGACAGCAACAACCAAAAAGCTAATTAGTATGGAAGGATTAAATGAACATCCTTTGGCATGGGAAATACTTCTATGAATGCTACAACAGGAATCCCTTCAAAAATTTACTCCCTGAGACGGAAGACATAGCGATTACATCTAAGGGGCTTTTACAGCTAAATATGTAAACGCCATCAGGAGTCGGTTGATTCTTGCCACAATTTAATACACGCCTTGCATTTTCAGGCACGTTTTATAGTCTGCAAAAATACGTTTGTTGCGTATAGCTATTTAATGGTACGAAAGAACTGAGCTTGTTAGGATTCATATCATGACGCCTTATTTTTATGATATAGTTGTATTGTTTTCACACTGAAACTAAAAGCTTTTCAGCGGCTATGCACTTATAGTTTGTCTTCTGTACCTGGTCTCGGTATGGATAGTTCGTCTAAGAGAATCCATAGAATACACTGCGTCACCTATCGCCTTCTTCAAGACACAGAAGCGATTGGAATAAGAGGACCAGATAATTTGGAAAATATGGGATAATTGAAATGTTGCCATTGAATAGTGGGCTATCGTCGAGTGACAACCTGATGTATCAGCTGCCGCGCTGCTCATCCACATTCGAGCTCTTCAGAAACTCAACCTATATGGCAGTACTGACCGTTCCTTGTGTGGACAATACCTTGTTTCGTGGAAAATGCCTTTGATATACATTGCAGGTATGGATACCAACTTGCAGTGGACCGCCACGCAAGCCGTGTCTCTTTTGTCCGAAACTCATAGCTATACCTGATTTTCACATCACCAGACGATGGTATAGACTGACCATTGTCTCTCCAACGACAAGAGTGTACTCCAGGTAGGTTTTTTGTTAGCGATGGTTACGCAAAGTGTACTTAGAATATACCACTCCTGTTTTCATTTGTTCTGGACCTATCTTTCCGAAGGAACCTAAT